AGGCCGACTTCGCTCAAAAATATAAAGCTTTGTTCACCATTATCTAATGATAACATCTATTTATTAGTTAATTTTATTCGGGATTAAATATCAATGATCGCAGTCGTAGAAAGTATTTAAATTGTAGTGTGCATTACCGCACTTCTCCGGTGAAGAACCTTGTAGTATGGCTACTACGACCATTCCTCAGATCCGTAAATATGTTTTCGAGTTTCCGAAATTACCAATGGGCCTACTTCAATGATATGTGAGATAAAATATCTGTGATGAACTGACCTATTCCAACACCCAAACACAGAACCAAACATGTGGTTCCTATGATCATTCCTATGATATCCAAACATATTTTTCGATGTTTCCGGACATGCCAGTTAACATGTTTGAGGTGAAATATTTGTTATTTCATGCCAAGGAAATAAAAATAAAATTAAAATTATCACTTAAATGATATAACTGACTTTCCCCAGTACAGGAACCATGTAGAATGGTACTAATTCATGAGATCAGAAAATAATTTTGCTAATTTTCGGAAATGCCGATGGACCTATTTCCATGATATTTAAGATGCAATATTTTTTAAATTATAATTTTAATTATTTATATCGAGAACTGACCTTCACCAAAACTGGTCTATACAGCATAGATCCTTTTGCCATTCCTGCGATGCGTAATGCCAATGAACGGTTTGCAACATTGCAGCAAGCAAAACAAAACATTTGAACAGTCAAAATGCCGAGTTGCCAAACATACAATTATTCACAAACAAAGTTAGTCCGATGAATGTCTCGGCACAGCGCGGCACACTTGAGGCGAGGCACACTGAGAAAAATATTGACGCAAAATAAGTGTGTAGAGTGACCACCCCTTGCTGAGCTATAACTTTGCCAAAAAAAGCATACCTTTATTTCTGAAAAAAAAAAAATAGTTAATTTTTATATACTAACTAGCTGAGTGTGGCCGGTCTTGCTCGGGATTCAATATTAGCTTGAGTTTATGCGCCGATTTAAAAAAAAAAGCATGCTATATTGTACGTAGCCCCCCCCCCCCATATTATCTAAGGGGCTACCCCCTATGATTATCTCCTTATACCCCCACACTCGCCCCCACATGCCTAATTTGGTTCTATTTGCTTGATTAGTTCTCGAGTTATGCAGAAATTTCTGTTTCATTTGTATGGGAGCCCCCCCTTACAGAAGGGGGAGGGGTCTCGAACCATCATAAGAACCTTCCACGGCCCCAAAAACCCCTGTATACAAATTTTCACGCCAATCGGTTCAGTAGTTTCCGAGTGTATAAGGGTCAGACAGACAGACAGACAGACAGACAGACAGACAGACAGACAGACAGACAGACAGACAGACAGACAGACAGACAGACAGACAGACAGACAGACAGACAGACAGACAGACAGACAGACAGACAGACAGACAGACAGACAGACAGACAGACAGACAGACAGACAGACAGACAGACAGACAGACAGACAGACAGACAGACAGACAGACAGACAGACAGACAGACAGACAGACAGACAGACAGACAGACAGACAGACAGACAGACAGACAGACAGACAGACAGACAGACAGACAGACAGACAGACAGACAGACAGACAGACAGACAGACAGACAGACAGACAGACAGACAGACAGACAGACAGACAGACAGACAGACAGACAGACAGACAGACAGACAGACAGACAGACAGACAGACAGACAGACAGACAGACAGACAGACAGACAGACAGACAGACAGACAGACAGACAGACAGACAGACAGACAGACAGACAGACAGACAGACAGACAGACAGACAGACAGACAGACAGACAGACAGACAGACAGACAGACAGACAGACAGACAGACAGACAGACAGACAGACAGACAGACAGACAGACAGACAGACAGACAGACAGACAGACAGACAGACAGACAGACAGACAGACAGACAGACAGACAGACAGACAGACAGACAGACAGACAGACAGACAGACAGACAGACAGACAGACAGACAGACAGACAGACAGACAGACAGACAGACAGACAGACAGACAGACAGACAGACAGACAGACAGACAGACAGACAGACAGACAGACAGACAGACAGACAGACAGACAGACAGACAGACAGACAGACAGACAGACAGACAGACAGACAGACAGACAGACAGACAGACAGACAGACAGACAGACAGACAGACAGACAGACAGACAGACAGACAGACAGACAGACAGACAGACAGACAGACAGACAGACAGACAGACAGACAGACAGACAGACAGACAGACAGACAGACAGACAGACAGACAGACAGACAGACAGACAGACAGACAGACAGACAGACAGACAGACAGACAGACAGACAGACAGACAGACAGACAGACAGACAGACAGACAGACAGACAGACAGACAGACAGACAGACAGACAGACAGACAGACAGACAGACAGACAGACAGACAGACAGACAGACAGACAGACAGACAGACAGACAGACAGACAGACAGACAGACAGACAGACAGACAGACAGACAGACAGACAGACAGACAGACAGACAGACAGACAGACAGACAGACAGACAGACAGACAGACAGACAGACAGACAGACAGACAGACAGACAGACAGACAGACAGACAGACAGACAGACAGACAGACAGACAGACAGACAGACAGACAGACAGACAGACAGACAGACAGACAGACAGACAGACAGACAGACAGACAGACAGACAGACAGACAGACAGACAGACAGACAGACAGACAGACAGACAGACAGACAGACAGACAGACAGACAGACAGACAGACAGACAGACAGACAGACAGACAGACAGACAGACAGACAGACAGACAGACAGACAGACAGACAGACAGACAGACAGACAGACAGACAGACAGACAGACAGACAGACAGACAGACAGACAGACAGACAGACAGACAGACAGACAGACAGACAGACAGACAGACAGACAGACAGACAGACAGACAGACAGACAGACAGACAGACAGACAGACAGACAGACAGACAGACAGACAGACAGACAGACAGACAGACAGACAGACAGACAGACAGACAGACAGACAGACAGACAGACAGACAGACAGACATTATTATATATATATATAGTAACCCATCGAGCTGATTTTCTGTAGGTGACAAGTTTATGGTTGACCCTAATCACATACAAAAAACCAGCCCAAATGCGAAGCGAAATGAAGCATAACGAATTTCTGCCGCTCCCTACAAAGTTTTTCCAAGATAGGTGTATTTAATTAATTACAAGATTAACTAAACTACCATGGCTGTGTCTTCGATTAAACTTCTTCGTATCACCATTCACTGACCGTAATGAAAAAAAACTCAAATTTAATTAATGAGAAACTTTTCCAAAATCGATTGGAATTCCAATGATAAGTAATGCGTAAAACCTCCGCTCAATAAACAACAATGTCATTCCCGTAAATCGCGCTTACCTCATCAATCCCATCCCGATCATCCGAACGAATGATGACAAAGTTCCTCTTAATCCCGATCAACGTCGGAATTTTTATTACGGGCGTATTTTTTTCTTCTCCCATTTGAAATGTCCATCAAACCATTTGGATAAAGAGCACTTTGGGACACTTTTAATTGTCAATTATCCCGTTCCACTCGGACACGAGCAAAATGGCTTTTCCATTAGATGCGACACAAGAGCTTTTTAATGGCGCGAAATCGTATCTTTTTCTCTCACACACACACACATACATTCGCGGCACACCCATACCACGTAATCTCGTAATCTGATTTCAATAAACCGAATCGAAGGCTAAATGGTTTTTGTTTGCGCGTCGTGGTTGGACAGTTGGAAGCCAGGAGGAAGGAGGCTGGGAGAAAATTACGACGCTCTCCACCATTGATTGTGCATTGCTACTATGAAAGTATATACTGAATGGTAGAGCCTAGGACGAAAACACTCACAGTAGGCGGGTGGAGAAAGGAAATAAATGTTTGGAATGCAATAATGATAATGATTACAGTTATTCCGCCCACTTGGATGGGTATGGAATGGACCGATTTTCTCACATCAGCAAATTGGAAGCTTGCTCTTTTTGCCCAATCATTTTTGGAACCATCGTAGGAAGTTTACTCCGCTCACTTCCATAATGAGATCCGGTTTGATGAGATCGGATAATTGGAAAAGACCATGCGGGCAGACGCCGGTTTGTGGCCAAGTCGGTGCACGACGACGCGATGGAAACCGCAAGGACAAAAACAGGATTGAGGGATAATCCTAGCATAGAAAACAAATTCATAAATCTCTCCCACATGTTTGCCCAAACAAACTTTCCGCCGACACGTTTACCGAGACATGGGGAGGAACATTCAACTGCATTTGCAAATTTGAATTTCAGATAGTGATATGGCCGGCCTTGTGCAAAGTTCTGAAGCCCGTTTTTGCGACTGCTGTGACGGGCCATAAATTTCGTTCCATTACTCCACAGAGTGAGCTGGGGTTTTCCTTTCTACCATATTTTTCGGACGCTGTACGTGTGTGTGTGTGTGTGATTATGTGGGACAACCGACCCACTTCATCAGAGGAAAGTATGTAAATTTTTACAACCCAAGCCCGACACCGCGTTTTTCTTTTTCACCATCATCGCTGTGATGATGATGATGATGATGATGATGATGATGATCAACGAGAAGGACTTGCACAAACAGATTTCCTTCGTAGGACACCATGGAATTCCATGCTCGGGTGTACTGAAACATGTTTTTTTTTTCTATGAGTATTTTTCTACACCCTCGTTTACTAGATCTGTCAGCCATATCAGTCTCGTTTGTTATTGATTCTCGCCTCGTTCGCTTGGCGGTGTTATAAAATATGAATGCTTTCAAGGCGGAAGGAGTCCGAACAAAATATTTCCGATAAGCAAACTTGTTCTTCGTATGCATTGTTAAACTAGTACCTTGCTAACATCTCTCTTCCATTTCCTTCCCCCTCTCGTCTACAGTCAGCCTGGTCGGCATCCGGTCGATGCAGGTGCCGCACAAGTTCTCCGGATTCTTCCTGGCCGCCGAGAAGGAGTTGACCCTGAGTCGTCCGGAGCCGCAAAACAACGCCGGTATGCACCACGTGGGCACATTCCACCTTCTAGGGGACGCCCTGACCAAGTTCAGCGAACGCTGCCCGAACGCAGTAACCCAGACCAGCTCGATACCGAAAAGTGAAATCCAAGTAAACTGGATAGCTCCACCGGCCGGCAGTGGTTGCATAGCGATCCGGGCCACTGTTGTGGAACATCGCGACGTTTGGTACATGGACGATGGACCGTTGAGTAAGATTTTCTGCGAAGACGAAGCGGACTCGGTGGACACGCAGCCACCGGTTCTGAAGGAATGCTGCGCATGTGACGAAGCCAAGTACGAGCTGACGTTCGAAGGACTTTGGTCCAGGCACACGCACCCGAAGGATTTCCCATCCAATGGGTGGCTGACGAGATTCAGCGATGTCATCGGAGCGTCCCACACGGTGGACTATCGATTCTGGGAGTACGGACAGGTGGCCAGTGAAGGCCTGAAACAGGTTGCCGAGCACGGATCGACGAGGATGCTGGAAAGCGAGTTGAAGAACCAAAGCGACAAGATCCGTACGATCATCAAGGCCAGAGGCATAGCGTATCCAAACGTGACGGGAAAGACCTTCGCCGTGTTCCGAGTAGACTCCAACCACCACCTGGTATCGATCGTCTCGATGTTGGACCCTTCGCCGGATTGGATCGTAGGAGTCTCCGGATTGGAGCTGTGCTTGACAAACTGCTCCTGGATCGAGAACAAGATCCTGAATCTCTACCCATGGGACGCCGGAACCGATAGTGGTCCAACGTACATTTCCCCTGACCAACCAACGAATCCACCGGATGCGATCCGAAGAATCAAATCGAACTACCCGAACGATCCGCGATCACCCTTCTACGATTCAACTGGCGCTGAGATGAAGCCACTCGCCCGTATCATCCTGTCCCGTCAGCGACTGTACGAGAAGAACTGCGAACCGGATGACGAAGACAACGAGTCCAAGCAGGCCTGCGAAACGGAACCGTGGGACGAGTGGACCGAGTGCAGCTCCCGATGCGGCAAGGGACGCCAAACCCGTCGTCGGGTGTTCAAATATCCGGTGAAGGCCAAGCAGGCCGATTGCGCTATTCGAGCGAAGACCGTGCGTCGGACCGGAACGGGATTGCGACTACCAGACCAGCCAGGAGCTGGATACACTCTACCAGGGCGATCCGGAGTGCGAGGTGACCGAGTGGGGCCCGTGGAGTGAGTGCAGCACTCCGTGCGGCAAGGGCAACAAAACGCGATCCAGGAAGTACAAGAAGAAGGGAGCGCGCAAGAAGTGCGAACGGATGCCGAATCCGCCGAAACTGCAGCATACGGTGCCGTGCAGCGAGGAGTGCGCCGGGGACATTTCGCAGCCGGTGATCAGTGCCAATGTGAGTGTGAAATTATCTCAAACCTCTATTATAGAGACTAACAGCCATCCCAAGTAACAATTAAGATTTTATGTCGGTTCAGACTTGTAGAATACTTTAAAACCTGGATAAAACTTGCAATGTTTTTTTTAATTGCCAGCCATTTCATACCAAACGATACAGTGGTTCTCAGAATTTCGTAAAAATAGGTAGTTTTGTTCTTTATCGCAAAGTATGAGACCCTTATTTTTTTGTCATTAGGATGACCATTTCCATCTTAGGGTGTTCCAAAAAATTGAGTTTTTTTCAAAAATGACTTTTTTCAAAAATTCATAACTTTTAAACCACTGGGCCGATTTAAAAGATCGAAATATCAAATGAAAGGTTATTGAAAATCATCAATCATAGGTCAAACATTGGAGTTCTTTTTTTACTTTTATTTGTAAACTAGTGTTATTAAAATTTTAATCACTTTTTTATTTTTGAATAAAAAATACAAACAAAATCACCACTACTAAATTTTTCCCTACAATCTTGTCTACGTAGTTTTGATTAGAAGTGGCGTTTATGGGATATGATTTATTTAAAAAATTAGAAAACGCCACTTTGAAAAAAATTAAGATTCAAAATGAACGAATCATAGCAAAAATGTGAATGACTGCCCATAACAAACAATTATGTAAAGTTTCATGCAAATTGGAGAAGGTCAAGTTTAACCGATTGGCCGGAAGCTGCTCAGCAGTATCTGGTAGAGGATGTTTGCTCTATCATATGGTGTAGTTAGTCGTGAGCAATCGGCATTTCGACAGTGAGCATGCATAAGGGCCTATACGCGATGATCGATTCTCTTCGTCTATTTTCTCTTTTGTTAATAACTCGCTAGATTTAACGTTTCTCGGTGCGTTTGCTGTTGCTTTTGATAGCAAATACAACCTGTTACTACTCTGCATTGAACAAATTCTAGAAAATTGTTTCGCTTAGCTGTAGCAATGCAAAGAGAATATCGATGAAGAGAATCGATCATCGCGTATTCGCACTTATGCATGCTCACTGTCGATTTAAAGTCTTTGTTTACAGTTGAAACATGTTCTCTTCGTTTTGAATTTTGAATGTATTGTCCATTTCGGCAGCTCAACCCCGAGTGCAAGATGTCCCAGTGGTCCGAGTGGGGTCCCTGCAGCGTGACGTGCGGTCTGGGCCGAAAGATGCGGACCCGTATGCCACTGAATGCGGCCTTGAACACCAAGATGCACCACAAGCGCTTCGTCAACTACTACCTGGCGAGAAGGCGGCCAACGGCGAACGATGACGACGAGGATGATGACGAGGAAGACGATTACGACAATGGGTTGAACATCGACCGGGATGATCCATGCTATGGGGTAGAAACTGTGGAGGAGGTCACCTGCGGGCACGATCTGCCAGCGTGTGACGGCTTGTACGGAGTTCCCGGTAAGGAAGGTTATGACTTGTGGGAAGTTCATAAGTTAATGGAATTTGATTTTTGGGGATTTAGAACTGTGCTTCCTGGAACCAAAACCTGGTAACTGCAGGGATTCGCAGACTCGCTGGTACTTCGACAGCGACAAAAATGACTGTTCGATTCTGTTCTTCACCGGCTGTGGTGGAAACAATAACAACTTCATGTCCAGGGAGGACTGTTTGGACACCTGTAGCAAAGGTAGTATCCTGTGACGGTATTTGATGAAATGTTTCTGACTGTTTACTTCCAAATCCGACAGATCGAAAGTTTACGAATATTCCGATCCGTGATCAGACGATCATAAATTCTGACTACTCACCGGACTTCAAGCAGGACTGCAAGACTTCCCATTGGAAGCGAGGTCCCTGCAATGCCACTTGCGGTGAAGGTTACCGCGTGAAGAGTCGAACCATTCTGGTAGGTTACTGCTTTACCGATCATTCGCCATTGATCTCTCATTATGTATGTCCGAGTAGGTCCACCCCGCAAACGGCGGCCATCGCTGTCCGAGGAAGCTTCGCAAGCTAGAGCGCTGCTTCGTACACTGTGACTCATCCCGGCACGACACGAATCCCTCGTGGGGTCCCAGCACCCGGTACTCGCCGGAACCGATCGAGTGCGACTACTCGGCCTGGTCGGCGTGGTCTCCGTGCAGTAGAACGTGCGGAGATTACGCAGTCCAACAGCGGACCCGTTACGTGGTGAACTCGGAACACGCCCGATACTGCCCGCACCGGCTCGAGGAACGGAAATGTGATATAATGCCCTGTTTGTTGGGCAACTGAGCCGGGCGCAGCACGCGAGGTGAGATTTATTTACTGATTTATGAAAATACTCATTTTACAGGAAATTATTAAAGCACACATTTCGAATAACTGACAGTCACAAGAAAAAGACAACAACTGAACCGAAGAGGTAAACTGCATACACACAAAAGAAAAAAAAACAAGGTGTTTTGATTATCGGTGTAGTTAATGTTTGATTTATCGAAGAGTTAATTTTACAAAAAAAAAATCGCAAACATGCGGTTGCCATATACATAAAAGTGTAATCAAAATATCAGCACATATAAGTAAATTAGGGAAACAACTTTTGTACAAGAACATAATGGGAGAGACAACAAATCGCCCAAGCAGACAAAACAACTTCAACTTCAACTTCAATAATTAAAAAAAAAAACTCCCCGAAGGTTGATTATAAGCAATGGCTTGGGTGTGTAGTTGCTAAGCCAAATAATTAGATTAATGATTATAGTTGCAGTGACGACAATGTAACAACAACAACAACAACAACCAGTCTTAAGGTGATTAAACAATAAATCATGGATGCATATTAGAAAGAAGAAATGCAATGTCAAATACCTACTCGGAAGAGGTAAATCAAGTTGATTTTTTTAGAGAAAATTCCTTGCCACTTGATGACAGTTGGACAGCTTAAATGTGTTACATATTTCTTTTATCAATTTCCATTTTTTTTTTCAATCTCTACACGCTATTTTGAAGGAACTCATTCACTATTTGTAGAAAGTATTGATTGGTTCTTACCTGTGCTGCAAACCAGTTTTGATCGAAACCGTGAAATGATTTCGGATTGACCACAGATGAATCGGCTACAATATACTCGTGCAAGTAACTCTCCAGCATACTTGAAGTTTTTCTTCTCCAACGTAAAGTCAGTGGTCCTCAACTGTCTATCCAAATGGGAACCAAAATGGTCGTGTGGAAAGACGAGCTCTTTGCTTAAAAGTGTATTTTTTGCCACAAATAGTGTATCGAGGTTATGTTCCTTAAAATGCTGAATGGCAGACTGGGTAGCCTTTTAGTAGCGAGGATTTTCCTCGGGCCCCCCATCGACGACGAAAATGAGAACAGGATTGATCAAACCATCAAATTTCACAATGCTTTCAAATGGTTCAAGAGAGAGCAGACGTTCAAAATCTACAGCATGTGAGTAAGCTGTGGATGATGAATGCTTGCCGGATCGTATCACAATGTAGGTAGGTCCAGAATATTCTACAGCTTCAGTTTTTCGTAGACCATATGGTTTTATTTCGATACCTGCATATATGCGAAGGAATAAGCTTATGCTTATTCGCCCACACCCAGTCATTTTTTTACTCACGGTGAAATGATTCCCATTTGATTTGCCCGGGAATCACTTCACCGTGAATGACAACTTGTCACTTCACTTCGTTTTCACCGTGAATCTTGCTCTATCATCCTGACTGATGAAACCAGTGTCGTTGGGTCCGAGCTGTGCAGAACCGGCTATCAGGATGCTCATGATGCTTAGCGTTGCTAGCATCAAAGATATCTAATTAACAAGATATCCCACTAATCAATTCCTCGAACAAGACAATGGATGCACCACCCTTATGTGATCGCAATGCCATCTGGTGAGTGCACATTGAAACTGTTGGGAGTCCCTCGCCAACTTCACCACCAGGGCTCAATAGCTGACGGGAATCAATCAGCATGACAGATGCCAACGCGAACATTGACGGTCAGCCGAGGAAAGAGGACGATATCATCCTCGATGTGATGACATTATATTGTGATAGAGAAATTCTCACTTTTTTGTGATTGCACCGATTTGCAATTACTACCACTTTATACGCAACACTTGAAGAAACAATCACATATCCAAGATCGCATCAAGGTGGGCTTGTAATATGTTTTGCTTTCGAGTGAAAGAGTTTACAATATCACCACCGATATCAGTAATCAGTATTACTCTAATAGTAATTAATGATTTGCGAAGCTTTATAATCTTTATAAGCAAAGAAGTAAACAAGTCCCTCTCCCTAATGAATTATTCCAACACCCCAGCCACTGGAAATGCAACGTATTGAAATCATTGCTAAATAAACGTTATAAAATATGCCGACTTTCTTAGCCAACGCAGCACTCATTCTATTCAAAAATTACGATGAAATAATGATTACTTTCCTATTTTATAACGTAGGAAGTTATTTGTCAACGTCGGAAAATGAAAACGAAATCGGAACCTGACGAAACTGAATGATGACGCTGAGTGATTGATTTGCGCTGTACCGTGGTGGATATGTTACATTGGTCTATTTGAAAAGTGACGCGAGAAATCAGTTGTCAAAGTGTACGACAGCGGTTTGTATTTTTTTTTAATTTTCAACCAGTAAAACGCATGTATTAGTAAAACCAGTAAAACGCATGTATCTGCTAGTAATACCAACGGTAGTAGAGAACTCTATGTTCTCAATATCACGCGTGATATTGAAACAACATATTATATGATATTGATTTTACAAGCTCCTTTGATATTGCAAGACTAAATATTAAGCTGAGAGTTGACTCGGCCCAAAAATCATTCCGTTGCACGTTGTCGTTTTCCTGGAAAATTTGCAGATGGCATAAAAAGCTACTGCTGTTAGCAGTGACGGTAGTTTCGGGTCACATTCGAATGTACACGGTAAAAAGATATCACATCTAATCCAAATGCTCTTGCTCTTGACTCAGTCTGTTATGCGGCTCTGCGAATCGAAGTGATTTGCAATTTGAAACAAAGTGATTTGTCGTTGAAAGATATGTACTGTATAAAACTTTTAAATCAAAATGATTATCATTTGAATCAGCACCACTGTTTTCAGCCATTGAATTTGATTAGTTTTGCTTTCGGAAGCAAATGTCAAAAACGCACATGACAAACATTACTCGTGAAGATGGCAAGTCAACAACGTAATCATTTGCATTCTAGAGCGTGAGTAATACGAAATTGTTGCTGTTTTCAATAATAGTGTATTATTCAGATAAGTTCGATTACAAAACATTGTCAAACTTATCAAATTTATTGCTCAATGTCACGTCTTACTTACTGACTTAAGGGTCCTGTGCACCACCAGCGGTGCAAAGGGCCAACGTGAAAGACTTTCATCCTGGGCGGCTGCTCGCTTTTGCCTTGACCTGGGCCCAGGTCAGATTCCTATCGACTTGCTTAATTTCTTTATTGAGGCTCCGCCGCCATGAGCCCCTGGGTCTGCCTTTGCTGCGATGTCCTGCCGGATTCCAATCCAGCGCTTGCCTGCAGATTTCTTTTCCGCCCCGTCAAAGTGTGTGGCCGACCCACCTCCACTTTCGCTCTCGAATTTCTGTTGCTATCGGCTTCTGATGACATCGACGATGGAGCTCGGCATTCGAGATCCAGTTGTGAGGCCACCAGGCACGAATTATATACCGCAGGCATCGGTTGATGAAAACCTACCGCTTTTGAGTGTTCACACCACGTCTCGCTGGCGTATAACAACACAGATTTCACGCTCGAGTTGAAAATTAGGATTTTAGTGCGTTGACTTATCTGGTTGGATCTCCATACGTTTCGTAAACTCGCAAAGGCAGCCCTAGCCTTCTTGAATCGTGCACCTATGTCGCTCTTGGTGCCGCCGTCCGACGCTATATGGCTGCCAAGATATTGGAAACTTTCGACCTTCTCCACTGCTTGCCCCGCTACCGCAAAGTTGAAAGGGTTGCCTGTGTTGATATCCAACGATTTGGTCTTGTTGACGTTGATGGTGAGACCCGCCGCAGAGGAGCGTTCGGGTAGGTCATTGAGCTTACTCTGCATATCAGAGCGCCGTTGTGCTAGTAGAGCAACATCATCAGCCAAATCGAAGTCGTTGAGATGCTCCATGGTGATAGGCTGCCAAAGCAGCCCACGGTTCGGTACACGGTCAATTGCACCTACCATGATCTCGTCGATTACGATGAGAAACAGTAGCGGTGATAGTATACATCCTTGTCTCACACCAGCGACTACCCGGATATGGTCGGACAAGGCTCCGTTATGCAGAACTCTGCACGTGAAAGCCTCATACTGCGCTGCGATGAGGTTGACGATTTTATCCGGGACTCCCTTGTGTCTCCGGGCGCCCCACAGATTCTCGTGATTGAGACGGTCGAAAGCTTTTTCGTAGTCAATGAATACCAAATAAAGGGACTCTTGGAATTCATTGACCTGCTCCAGGATGATGCGGAGCGTGACAATATGGTCCACACAAGATCTTCCGGCACGGAATCCTGCCTGTTGTCGCGTCGATCTTCTCCTGTATCAGGATAACTTTGCACAGAACTTTGAGAACAATACACAGTAACATGATGCCTCGCCAATTGTCGCACACAGTCAGATCCCCCTTCACTAAGATGCCCTGCATCCAGTTGGCCGGAAAAGTCGCGGTGTCCCAGATATTACAGAATAGTTGATGCAACATTTGAGCGGATCGCATGGGGTCAGCTTTGAGCATCTCTGCTGATATGCGATCGACCCCTGAAGCCTTGTTGGATTTCATGCTTCGGATAGCTTCTTCAATCTCCTGCAGTGATGGGGCCTCGGACGCGAGTGATGCGCCGCACCCTAGGCGGATCATGCCGAGATGTTGATGGCTGGTTGGCCGTCGAAACTTGAAGAAGTTGTTCGAAATGGTCGGTAAGCAATTGCCCAGTCGTGTCCTTCACTGGCATCCTCGAGTTCATCCTTGCTCCACTCAGGCGTCGTGAGATATCGTAGAGGAGGTGTATATCGCCAGTGTTTGCGGCTTTCTCCCCTTCGTCGGCCAGGGAGTTCACCCACGCTCGCTTGTCCCGTCTGCAAGAGCGCTTGACTTCCTTCTCTAGAGCCGAGTACCGTTAACGGGCTTCGTTCTTGGCTCCTCTGGTTCTCGCCCGCTCTATCGCGGCTTTTACTTCTCTACGCTTCTCAATATTCCGCCAGGTTTCATCTGTGATCCACTCTTTCCTCTGGGTGCGCAGCTCACCCAAGTTGTTCTCGCTTGTTTCTATAAAGGCATTCTTGATGGCCGTCCATTGTTCTTCTACGCTGCCACCTTCAGGAACGTCCGCAGCTCGAGTCTCAAGTTCTTCAATAAAAGACCTTTTTACCGCTGGATCTTCAAGTCAGCGTTTGTTGAACCGCCGTCCGAGTCTCTCCTCCCGTCGCTGGATCCGCGCCATGCGTAGGCGGATTTCGCCGATTAGAAGGTGATGGTCAGACGCGATGTCAGCGCTGCTTTTATTCCGGACTCCGGCTCCGTCTCCATTTTCACGCTCATAGTCCGTGTTGTCGGAGCCGATCTTCGCATTGAAGTCGCCAGTGTAGATCTTTATGTCACCCTTTGGAACCTTATCCACGACGGCATTCAGTTGACTGTAAAAATTCTCCTTGTCCTGTAGCTCGGCAGCATCGGTTGGCGCATAACATTGGATTATGGTAATGTTACGAACCCGTGTTCTAAATTTGGCAACGATTGTCCTCTCATTAACAGGCTCCCACTTGATGAGCGCAGCACTTGCCTGGACGCTAAGTAGGAGACCAACTCCACGATGGCGGGGAGCGTTTTCACCTCG